AAAATCTCTCAGTTTTTTAGAAAGATTTTCATCCTTCTATTGATCTCAACAAACTATTAAAAAGCTTTCATGTTAATCATGATGCGTATAATAGCAATTAAGACAAAATTTACATGTTTCTTTTTCGTTTTCGATGTTTTCTGGATGTATATAAAAATGACCCGATATCTAAACATATTTATCATCTTTATTAAAACATGATTCGTTGTCAGAAAACTTGAAACTTCTTTCATACTGTTGTTGAAAATATAATCCATCTATTTTTATAAGCTTTAAGTTAGTTTGGTTGACGTCAGAGACTTGTTTTAATTTTTAGTTCACTAAAAGGCTGATAGAAAATGAACAGAAGCGAATTTGGAAATTCTGATTGGAGACACATTGTACAAAAATAATGATATATTAATTAGTAGAAATCCTGATCTAATGTTCTCGCTAGATTTAGAGAGGAGTTAATGTAAGCTCAATAGCTCGGCAATAGCAATATTAGCAACCTTTAGTTTTCAGAAATGCAATGAGAAAAACTCCGAACATCTTGCTGTCTGATGCTATATAAGACAAAATTAGTTTACAATCCATCATCTTCTCAAAACATTAAAAATATGCATGAAAACAGTGATCAGTTTGAAAGCAATTTTGATAAAATACTAACAAAATGTTCTATTATTTAAACCGAAGAGATAGACGATTTTGTTTGCTCAGTACTAAGATATGAGATGATAATTACGTAAATTGTGCCATGAACTATAGATCTAAAGCACGCGTCAAAATCAAAATTACATCGAAACGAAGCACCAATTTCATGCATTTTTTTAATGTTTTGCGAAGATGATAGACTTTTAAGTAATTTTCTCGTATATATTATCAAATAAAAAGAAGTTCGGTGTTCTCCTCATTAGATTTCTGGAAATCGTTAGCTGTTTCTCTTGTCCAGTTATCAAAATTACACCCATTGCTTTTTAATTTCAGCATGGGCATGAGTCGAATGTATTCAATCAAAACTTTTTTTGAAAAAAAAATTTTCAAATGAATCTTCTTAACTGGAAAACTCATTATCAAGAAGATAAGATCTTATCCTATTTATTAGTAACTAATCTAATCAGATACTTAGACAAATTGAAAAAAAATCTATTTAAAAAAAGTGCTGCGTCAGCAGTGGCGGAGCTAGGATTTTGGATTATGAGGAGCTCAAATATCCTGAGGGGAGCTTTCCTTCTCTGGCTTCTCCCATCACTCTGTAGCTTGTTAGGTTTCTACTTATCTTAACAGTCTAACTCAATTCGTTTTATCGTAATCAGTTATCCATAATTTTGACATTAGAATTGAACATTTAATATAGTCTAATGAAGAATTTTTAGTATTTAAGAATCATGTCAAATCTTTGTGTCCGTGATGATCTATCCATGAAAGAGATTCAACTTTTTTTTTGTTATTATGAAAGCCAAAATTCATTAATAATAATGCATTCATTAAATTAATCTTCTTTAGGGTCCCGTTGCTGTTATAGCATTAAAATTACTCGAAGAAAATAATGATGAGAACGAGCTATATTCATGTGCATTTCTTCAATCACCTGTTAGTGATTTATCTCATTATCGTAAGTTTTATTTATTTCTTTCTTTATTTATTGATAATAATTTTATTTATTTTATAGATGCAATTTTTAGTGAACGTATTAATGGATTAAAAGTTAATGTGAAGTCTGTGAGTAGATAAAAAATTAAAAAATTAAAATTTTCACTTTTATTCTTGTTTTAAAAGTCTCACCGATTAAACATTCGAAATAAAAGTTTAGCTATTGTTCATGGAACAGCAGATGGTAAAAGATTAAAAATTGGATAAAATAAAATTATCTTCGTCTTTTTTTTAGAAGTTGTACCTTTTAAACATTCAGCCATGCTATCTAAATCTTTAATTGATAGTGGTATTCACTTTGATTTCAAAGTAAGAATCTTAAATAATATTTAAAAATTGACTAGTTATTGTTTTCTTTTTTATTCTTTTTAAAAAGGTTTATCCAGATGCTGATTATTATTTTGAATTAGATCCAGTATTATATAGTGATGTATTTAATTATCAACGGCGATTTTTTCGAGAATGTCTTGCTGAACGAATGAATGAAACACCAAAAGTAATACCATCAGAAGAAACTGATTAATTCAATCGAAAAAGAAAAACAAAATAGATTATTATACTTCTATATCAAAATTCGAATGTAATTCATCGTTGGAATATTTGTTTTTTGTTTTGTGCATATATGTATTTGTTCAGCTCAAGTTTGTTTTTTTTAATGAGCTTATTTTGATGTTTTATTGACCAACGAAAAAATAAAACTGTACAGATAGCATTAGATCAATAATATATGGATAAATCGAATTTGATTTGATTTAGTATTAGTCTTTAATCGTGTGAAAACTTATAGCTACGATTTCACTTATCATAATATCTCATTCCGTGTTCTACGATAAATGTTGAATTAAAGCTGTTTCAGACACAAACTAAAGACTGTACTAAAATCGCTTCTTTGATTTGTACAGATACAATTTTGAACTTTTTCACAAAATTTTACTGACAGTTATTTAATCTTATCCTAGAAGGAAGATCCGAACATATATGTTAGTATCCAGTTTCAGATTCGTCTACACGAATCTAGTATCTTACTTTTGACGCATCCAACCTGAAATTGACATTGAAACGACATTGATGTAGGCTATTTTCGAATTGATCAGTTTCAATACGTTCAATCTCGAATTAGAGATTAAGTATATTGTATTATATGTGGAGGTGTTGGCTCAGTGCAAAGAATGTATTGAAAAAAACGTAGAACAGAAAAATACAGATAAAATTGAAACAACGTTCATGTTAAGGCAAACTTCGGAAAAGTAAAAAAAAGTGGAATGATATCTTGATTATGAGTGTGGAAGTAGGATTCTGCCTCGGATACATTTTTAAAGCCACCGTAATAAGATCTTAGCTAATATTGGTACGAGTGTTTTCAATTTAAGATTTTTTAGCATCAATAGAACAAGGTTTTTTTTTCAGTAGAATTAACTAATGCATTACAAATAGCATTTATATTAAAAAACATAATTACAAGTTTGATTATTCTTACGAGTCAATCGAAATTTTATTTGTTTCGTTTTTATTAATTTTTTATTATTATTAACTTGCTTTAAAATGATTTACTGTATTTTGATTGAACTCATGTATGCTTTTCGAAAAAAAGTAGTGGATCGAAGTTTAAATCGATGTCTTCGTGATTGCTTCTACACAGGTCCTAATAATCTAGTCATATACTATCAAATATAAATGCTATCATAACAACCGAAGCGCATAAATCATCTTCTTATACTTCCTCAGCAACAAAAACAACACTGAGCGACTGTAGTACAAAGTTTAGACTCTGTTGAAATATTTTATAGCTTTCCTTGAATTTTCATAAGCTGCAATATGTTTTCGAATATGTTAAATAACGTTGCTTCTGATTTTTTTTCAGAAAAAAACGATTGTATAGTACATATACTTATTATGATGGCTAGTATCTCATCGATTTAACATACAATGATCATTCAAAAGACTTTCTATGTTTATTGAGATACAAGGTAAAATGTTAAAATCCGCTTTAGGTTTTCTCAAACGGATAGTTATAGCACGTTAAGCTAGCAGATAAGTGAAGAATAAATTGAATAGAAATAATAACAACTTGATGAAAATAAAATTGTAAAAACATATCATAATTTTAGAGTTAGTAGCAATAAGACAAATGTAATATAAAGCACCGATAAAAAAAATTAAAAATATTCTATTTAAAACAGAAATAAAATAGAGTGCTTTTCTGATAATTGACTATTCGCTAAAAAGTAATTATCATCTATTAGATATTGTTGCCTCGGCATGTTTTATACTATCTAGTATAATGTTGCTGAAGAAGATATTTGAATTATACAATTTGACCTCGAAGGATGCTGCACTGATGAGTTTTTTCGTTATGCTATTGTGTAATGGATATGCATCAGCGTATTGATGAGTTACAATAAACAAATTCAAACTGATTACTATTTTTAGGATTTTATGAATGACGTTTAAAAATTTGAAGGAAATGACAACAACTTCACATACTTATAATACACCGTTTGTTTTCTTTTTTGTTTTTGTACTGAAAGTGCAACTATTTTTGTTCTGAATTTACTAAGTATGTTGGTGCAATTATAATGCAATCCAAGATTCTTTTCTCTTTTGTCTACTATTACTATTTTTATATTGATGACCATTGAGGCTAATTCAACGACTAATTGCTTTGAAGAATTTCTTTGAAAAATATCGAACTTTTACGTACAAGTTCAGCATCTAGATAAGAGACGATTAGGATAAAAAGAAGCGGTTTATTTGTAATTTCTACCTTGAATAAAACAAGAAATTTCAAAAGAAAATGGTGCACTTAGTTTCATGCATATACGAATTTCAACTTAAGAACAAATAATTATTTTTGTTGATAAATAAAATTTTCAAGTTTTATTCATCTCGATTTGTAAACAACCATCATCTATTACATCATCTAAAATTAAAATCTTTTTCTGACTTCATGTGTCATATATAAAAGCTTAATAATACTTTAACACAAACACACTTTTTCGAGATAATAAAAAAAAAAAGAGAATTAATGGAACATACAAAATATTATTAGTAAGAGCACAAATAAATAAAGAACTACTATAGTTTCAGTACAACCTATACAGAATAATAAAAAATAGAAGCAGGTAAACTTACACATAAGTCATAATTATGATATGAAATAATCGAAGTATATCAGAGACATTTGTCTTGTTAATTTATATTTTCATTTTTTTCATAAACAGTAATAATACAACAATAACAACAAAAAAAAAGAATAGGATTCACAAATATATGACTGTGTGATTGTTTTAATCTGACATATGTGGATCAAATCAGTATGAAAGTAAACACCGGAAAAATAGAAAAAAAAATTCTATTTCATTATTTATTTAATCTTCGGCACCACTGCTGTCAAATTTTAATTTAATTGGAGATTTTCGACTAAATGAAGAAAAATTATTTTATAAAATAACAAAGGAATAAGATCTTACGAATAAATATGTTTATTATTGGTATCTTCATCTGAATCATCAGGAAAAAGACGAATACGTACTGGATCAGTAGGAACCGGTGGTGGTGGCGGTGGTGTTCTAAAGACATACATATATAAAGTTAAATATTGATTCGTTCGTATATTTTCTTGTCCTTGTTGTTTCAATCACAAAGAAATGTAATTGTATTTTCAAACTGAAATATCATTCAAAATGATGATAATTACTCTGATATAAAAATGAAAGAGACAGCGAATAATCAGGATTAAATTAAATGCGATTATATATTAAGATATTCTACCTATTTTAATAATCTTAATGAAGCATGAAAAAGCTGATAACGATTAAAATTCGATTGTAAGTCTTTATTCTTAGATAATATCTGTTTTATTAGAATATAAATTGAAGATTTTGTCTATTTTAATGGATTTGATGATTTTTAGATTACATTCAAAATCATCACTCAATAATAAACCTCGTTGTTTACTGTTTTGAAATGTTTAACTTTTGAAAATTTGTTCGACCTATGCAATTTTATTAAACATTTAACAAAGCAGAAATAGAATGAACTCATTCTTTACTTGTCTTTTCACACGTTATTAATATCCACTTATAGTAAGAAGAAAGAGTCAAAATAGGTATGTACTAATCTCATTATAATGAGTCTGATGTAGACAAAGCATTAAAAATAATTAGTAGTCATGACACAAGTGTCAGTAGAGATAAATTTAGAAGAAGAACACTATAGATCTACTCATTCAACTAGTCAAAACTTGAATCGATGTATGGTAAGCAAATATGATTTAAACATCTAACCATATTCTATTGTGAGTCTAGAAGGAAAACTTGAAAAATTCTTTCTCATAAAGTTCTTCTCTCGCACAAAATCACTTAATATCATTTTAAATTATACTAAACAAAAGTTCGATATAAACCAGAGCTGTGATATATCCACTTTTGGGATATACTTTTCTACTTTGTGTAATAATCTTAAAGGTTTGAAAATATTCAATACATTCTGTCTTGTCTCTCAAGAAAAAGTAAACGATTATCTCAACACTTACAATTGAGAATGATGATGAATAGAAATTTGTCTTATTTCTTCTATAAAGAATAAAAAAACAAAACAGATTTTGTTAATAAAGAAAAACATTTTATTCAAACCATCTGAATGTTCTTCATGATAACCAGCATAATTAGGTGGTCGTTTTGGATTTTTAATCGGTGTACGACAACCATGACTAACTGGAGAATTAGTACTATTGGTTAATGAAATCGTCTATTAGAATATTAAAATAAATGTCTATTAAAAATTTTCTTTCATTCAAACCTGTTCATGTTTTTGTTGATTAAATGCAAATGGTGAAATCACATGACAAATCTAAATTAATAATTATAATAATCATTTCAATAAAACAAACAAATAAATAAATTCTTTTATTCTTACTTCTCGAACTATAGGACTATTAAGTACATCTTTCGCTGTTGGTCGTTGTTTATAATTTGAATGAATCATTCGAAAAAGAAGTTCTTTTAATTCAAGATCAGTTAATATTGATGTTATTTCTGATGGTAATTTTAATTCTCGAATATCTGTCCAAAGGTCACCATTTACAGGTAAATCAAAATCACTAACTAATTCAAATGCTGCTAAACCTAAACTAAATACATCCGCAGCTGTTGATATTGTACCCGATAGAACTTCAAATGCAAGATAACGTGCATCACCATCTTGTGCTAACGTTGATGACTTCAAAGAAAAAAAAAAAAAAAAAAGAAACAATCAAAACATTGAACTAATTTGAATTTCTTGCTCCATTACACTTCGTAAATCATGTACAATACCAAAATCACAAAGTTTAAGAATTCCATCATGTGTAATTAAAATATTTTCTGGTTTAACCTTAAATTGAAAAAAGAAAAGTTATTAGTGCAATTCCTGCGAGATTAAAATGTGAGACATGATATCGCTGCTGTTACTATTTACAGGAAGATTGCTTTTTCTTATCTATTTTGAGACATATTTCTTCATTATCGTTTTAATTAATTGCTCATAAATGCAATAAGGAAGTATTTGATATATCAATAACAAACCATTATTGATATACGATCTGTGATCATATATGAACAATGTCTGTCACGATCTGTGGGGAAGAAGAATGTGTAAATTTGTACCTCTATATTTCAAAACTACTTTTAGATCTTGTTTTAGAAAATTGAAGATGAAGCAGGTTTTCAAACTTACGTCCATATGAACATAATCTAATGAATGAAGAAAATCAAGAGCCTACAAAAAAAAAAAGAATTATTTGATTATTGTTTTTATTCTTATTTTATTCATACATGACTTATTTGATAAAGAAAATGCCAAATCATTGGTTGAGTTATTTGATGTTCTGCTGAGTAGTCAAGTAAACTTTAAAAATAAAAGAAGAATTCATTTTTGTTTTTTAAATTTAACATTATTTGTTTGTTTTACATACTTGCTTTCACAAAGTTCTGTTTGAATATATAAACGTTCACGTTCTTCCCATGCATGTATTATTTTAAGAATATTTCTATGTGTAGCTAGTGTTTCATGAAAACGAACTTCTTTTAATTTTTCATCACTAAAATTAAATTTGAAAAGATTTTTCTTTTTTTTTTTTTTTCTAGAAATCCTACCGATCGGATTTGCCACGAAATTTAGTTAATGAACGTTTGATTGCATATAATTGATTATCTTCTTTATGACGAACTTTATAAACCTGCAAAACAAAGAAATCTATGATTAATTTTGTGTTAGATTCTTTTAAGAAATTTCTTTATTATTAATTGGAAATATGTAAGACAAAAGTTAATTGAAAGTGTGATTAATAAATATTTTGATAGATAATTGACTACGAATTTTTTGTATATGTATAATCAATCGAAATGAGTTTAAACATTTCCTTTGTTGAAATGTTTTGGGTAACAAAGTACAAGACAGATCTCAATGCAAAAATCACAGGAGTTCAATCATATTTGATAGTTACGAATCAGTAAGTAGTTGTAATAAACATCCAAAAATGACTTTAATATTATTAGTATTATTTTCACAGTCATACAGACACATATCTTCGTCAAAATTCTCGGCACAAGTTGCCTGTCAATACTTTTACTGATTCATGAACCTCACTATGTGTATATCGCTGACTTTTTACACTTAAAAAACAACGAAATCAGTTGTTTGAGAAAGAAGTTTCAAGATAATTATACATAGCAAAGGTTTTGAATACCTTCTTCCTCACATCTGACGATAGAATATTCGATAAAATTTATTTCGCTTTACAATCTGAATCTAATGCATCTTGTAGAGTTTAGTGAACTACAATTATCTTTAAAAAAGTTGCTATTTATGACCTATTTCTGAAGAGATCAAGCGTTTTCATTAAACTTCGACCTGAAATCTTACCCACTAAAGACTTCAATTACAGTAGAACATTTTAGAATCTTTGCAATAAGTCTCTCTAAGATATGAAGCTTTCAAAAAACAAAACATCCTATAAATGATCATAAAAACTAGTCTCATTGATGTGTTTATGTAAGCAAAGTTTCAGGTCGAAATTTGAAAATATGTTCTTGCTTCATATCTTAGATCGTAAAAATACGAACTCTTTTTATGGTAAGTATAATTCTATAAGACGTGCTAAATTCCGACTGAAAAGCAGACTGATACCTGAGAATATTCTCACGTTAATAACGATTAATTACAGATCATGACATAAATAGATTAGAAAGTTAAATTTTGATAAATTACTAGACGAGAAACTCATAAATTTAACGTCAAACTAAAAACCTTTAGAATAATATTGATTTAATATTATTTTGACAAATCGAACACACTATCGAGTACATAGACTATGAAATTAATATTTATTTATTAAACATATCTTTCTATTAATAGCCATTGTTATTTCATGTTTTACATGTTTATTCTAATAATTTTTTTCTATTTATTTTAATTTAAAAAAAATGATTTCATCAAATCTCTTGTACACTTCTATTTAAAATCATGTCTTACTTCAGCAAATGAACCACGACCAAGACATTCAAGATGTTCAAAACATTGATCCCAATAAGTAGATGAAATTGATTTTGTATAATATGGACTTTCCATAGCTAAAAGTATTAAAAAAAAAAATAAACAATAAGTTCAATATGAAAATGAAAACTTACCAACACCAAATGTATTCGAACTAACTGAAACAGCATTTGCTATTCGATTAGCAGCTGGTGTAAAATATCTATAAACACGACACGAAACAGGTTTGGGTGGATGATTTATTGCTATTCGTCGACGACTTGCCTTAAAATACAATAATAATAATAATAATAAACGGAAAGAAATATTTTTCTTACTTTTTTACTAGAAAATGCACGACATGAACTATTTGATGTACGCTCAGGTGAAAAGATTAATTCTGTTTCAGTAGTCATTCTTGTTTCATATGATAAAGTCATGAAAATTGAATCTTCAAATAAATTAAAAATTCTTCTATATATATATATAAATAAATATAGTTCAAGAAAAGTAGATTAAGTTAAAGAAAGACGAAATGTGTGAATAATCAATGATGAAATTCTCTTTTTGTTTTGTTTCTATTTTTGTTTTCAAAGAAAAGCGATTTATTGCTTTTAACTCTATTGTGTGATATATAAGTAATTATCATTGAGATAAATGCAATCGATGACAACTTAACAGATAATATGAATATTGTCTTGATAATTTCTTTATATTCATTAAATGGATCTATTAAAAGCTTCGTGTTAGAGAAGTTTCTTTTTTTCTCAAGAACATTATGTGAAATAATGATAAAACATGTCGTGTTTCCACTTAACACGATAATTATACCGATGTTCTCAAAGTATTAACATAACAATCTATTGAGAACATTAGATTCTAATGTAAACATGTGCCATTGAAAATGTCATATGACTTCATTTTCAAACATCAAATATAATAAACAGTGACATATGATGAAAAACAAAACAAAAAATTGCGTTAAACCCGCGTTCTTCTACTCCCTCTGCTTATGTCTTTTATTTTTATTTCTTTTATTATTATTATTTTTTTTTCTCCTTTTCTCACTTTGTACTGTCAGGATCTTTACGATCACAGATTGCAAAAGAAAAAAAAAAACAAAAAAAAATATTTTGATTTTTATGATTGTGAATCTAAACATCGATAGATATTTGTTTTATTTGTTTCTATGCAAGGACAATAACATCATAATACTTTAGTCTATTTGAATATTAGTAGATATTCAGATCTATTTTTGTTGACATATGTTCAACAATTGCTTCTTTTTTTTCTCGTGTGTCTTTGTAATAGTCGCTAATTTGGACTATTAGAAAGATCTGTATTCACTGGTACCTGGTTCATTTGTCGTCATTATATACAACAAAAGAATAATGAATAAAATCTAAAAATGACATATAGACATTTGATTTGAGTTTTTTGTCATCGCATTGTTGTATAAATTCTATTATTTATTGTTCATATCACACACATAAAAAAAAAACGAAAAAGAAAAAAAAAGAAAACTTGGCTTTGTTTTTTCCCTTTTTTTGAAACAGAATACGAAGGCAACAGACGATAGTTTTTTCTCTCTTTTCATGATTGATAGCACACATATATGACAAGTAAGAACAGGATATCGTGTGCATGTGTATGTCTGTGTGTGAATGTAATGTACCAGCAAAAAAAAATAGAGAACAACATCAATAATAACAACAGAAAAAAAAAGAAAGAAAGAAAAAAAGAAAGAAAAAATACAATTAGTCGAATCCGAAGAGAACAAAAAAGAGAAAGAGAGATTCTTTTGTTTGTACACGCTGAAATTAGAAAATACGAGATAAATAATAAAGACGAGGAAAATGTGCTCACAAACAACGTGAGATACATTATTTTGAATTTGTTTGATTTTCATTTTTTTTAATGTTTGATGAAGATCACCAATAAGGTGGTGGTTGTACACCGTCAGAACTCAGATTTGATGGTGGTGCTTGAAAATCATTAAATTGTGAGGAAAATTGTGAATCATTTTGTGAAAATTGTTGTTGTTGTTGAGAATCTGATGATGCATGATAATGTATTGTACCTGCTTGTAAATCACCTGGTGGTCCACCGGGACCTAAGTTTTGAATATTTAATTGTTGAATAGACATTGTTGCTGACACATATGTATTATTAATTGATTGTGGTGGTGGCGGTCGACCATCAGTTAAATGCATTTGATGATGAGGAGGATGCATATGTGGATGCATTTGAGGATGATGATGTGGTGGTCCCATACCAAAATTATCATCCATCATAGGTGAAAAACGCATATGTTGTTGTTGATGACCAGGTGGTGGTGGACCGAGTAATGGATCCATATGATGCATTTTAACATAATGTGGCGGAGGTAATTGATGAAGATGTTGTTGCATTGGATCAGATATAGATGGTGGTGGTAAACCTTTTGATGAACGTGATGGACCACCGGGATGTGGAATCATCATTCCATTTGGATCCATTGGATGATGTTGAGTCATCATTTTATACATATGCGGATGTGGTGGTGGTAAGTTACCAGGATGATGTGGACTAAATTGTGGAGGCATTGTGTCTGGTGGACCAAACATGCGATGATGGGGATTCATATTCTAAAGGAAGAAAAAAAAACAATAAATATTAAATTATTTCAAGAAAAGAAACTTACTTGAAACTGTATATGTTGTGGTGGTAAATTCATATGATCAATTGGTTTTGATAAATGTCCTAAATTAGGATTATTTAATGATTGTTTTGATGTTTGATTATTTGATGAATTATATGGAGAATTTGTTGATTGTAGACTATTTGTCATTTGTAACATACTACTTAATGGTGGTGCCATATTTGATGTTGGAGTTTTAGGATCATTATTCATATCTAATGGTTCATCTTTAGTTGAATTTGTATTTGAATTCATTAATGGTGATGATAAATTATTATTTGTTGTTAATTTTGATGAACGTGGTGATACAGCTGGAACACTTTGTGGTGTTATACCTTGAGAATGATGTGTAGGTGTTGTTGAACCGGATGATTGTTGTTGCTGTTGTTGTCCAAACGATAATGCATTGGAATTATTATTTGGTGTTGCAGTTGAACGTGTTAATGGTGTCATTGGTTCGTCTTTACACGACGAAGATGATGATGGACCACCATTTGTTCCATTACCTGGTCGATAAGCTCGATTTAAATGTCTTGTTATTACTAATTCTTCACCTTCCATACCTAATGAAGAAAAAAAAAATAAAGCGATGATTCAATGATGAAATTAAAAAAAAACAAAATGATTATACCAAATTCATTGTAATCCATTTGTGTTGGTGATGCTGTTAATTGTACTTCACCAACATTACCAGATAATTTTTTATTAGCTGATGATGGCAATGAATCTGGAATGAATTTTTCTGGTTGACCAACTTTATATAAGCGTGGTACTGTGGACGGTTCCATTCTAGGTGAAAGTAATTTACCATTAGGTCCTAAATTACCTCCTGCTGATGTTGTTGCTATAGGAGGTGTTAATGATGATGGTGATGCCGATGAATATGGTGGTGGTTGTCCACGCATTTGTTGAGCTTTAACTTCAAGATGTTCCATTTGCATTTTATTCCAATCTCTGACAGCTTGTGCTTGTGGATGATGTGGAGGTAATTGTCCATATGGATCACCTGGACCTGGTCCAAATTGTCCATGAAAACCTGGTGGCATTGGTCCATTCATATATGCATGTGGTGGTGGACCATTCATCTCAATCATCATTCCATCAGGTGGTCCTCGCATACCTGGTGGTAACATATGTGGTGGTGGTGGTCCGATACCCATCATATGGTGTGGTGGACCAACACCGTGTGGACTGTTCATCATCATCATTTGTTGTTGATGAGGATCAAGTGGACCCCCATTCATTGACGGTGGCATATTAGCATTAGCAGCTGCAGCTGCAGCAGCCGCTGCTGCATTTGCTTTAGCTCTTCCACCACGACCACGTCCACCTGTAATTTTTGTTTTTATTTCTTGTATTTTGTCTAATTGATTTTTTCGATGTATTGCTCGTTCAGGTGTTAAATTTTCAATACCATCTGATGGTGGTTGAATCATACCGGGCATGGATGGCATACCACCCATACGCATACCAGGTGGTGGCGGTGAACCATTCATCATAAGTGCACCCGGTGGTAAAAGATGATTTGGTGGAGGTAAACCACCAGGTCCAGGCGTTAAACGACCGAATGGTGGTTGTTGTTGATGAAAATGTGGATGAGGCCAATTTGGTGGTGGACCACCACCCCCATTATGAAGTGACATATGAGGATTGTGATGTGGTGGACCAGGCATCATCATTTGCATAGTACGAGGCGAATGACATCCGGGTGGTAGATTCATATGCATTGGACCACCGAGTGATGAATTATGATTGTTATTTGAGAGAGACTAAGCACAAAAAAAGTAATAATAAAATCTATTGACTATATATATCTATATGAGATTCCAATGGGATTTCTAATAGTTCTCGTATCCTTTTTCTTCTTTCGTCTACTCAATTACAAACATTTCCCTTGAGTTTTAGCATTTTTAGTTTTTCTTTGTGTGTGTGTGTGTGTTTATGCATTTCAAGCATTTGGAATGACAATTTATTTTTTGTTTATTCTATTGTTTACGTTTATTAAAATTTAAACTTACTGATATATATTGAGCTGTGCTTGGTAATGATCTATGATATTCAATTATATTAGGATGTTCATTTTTTAATACAGATTCAGCTGCTTCATTAGCTAATTGTGTTGTAAATACAAACACTTGATTATTGGCTTGTAAATATGGGCTATCACTGGTTATTGTATATTGATTACGTGGTGACATAGACATATAGGATGACGGTGGTGGTGGAAGTAATGATTGCTGTTGTAAAGATGGTGGTGGTGGAGTTTGTCGTGTGAGTAATAATGAATTTGGTGTTGTACTACAATTATTATGATTTGGTGGAATAAATTCATATGATATTTGACCAATATCATTACCATTACGTGATGGTGTTAAAGAAGGTGGTGGACCATTTGATAAAGCTAAACATAAAAAAAACGACCAGATTATCAATTGAAATTTCTCTGCTTTTTTTTTTTTAATTTTACTAACGTGTTCCTGTTCTACTAATTGATCGTTCAGAATCGATTTGTTCAGTTTTTTGTGGTTTTAAAGATGATAATGAATCAAAATCTGTTGATGATGGATCAATAAGTTCATCTAATTTTCTTTTATTTGTTTTATTATTTGTTGGTATTGATTGTCTTGTCAAATATATATCAGAAAATTGATTCATTGGAGAATCCGAAGATATTTGTTGATGAGAATCGTTTGTATGTAATAACATTGTTGCTGGCGGTAATGTTCCACTTTCCATCCCATTATTAACTAAAAACTAATT